CTTTCAAATCTTCGACCACTTCAATTTTTGGAATGAGTGCTATTAAGGTTGTATTCATAGATTTGTTGATCACCCCATAACAGAGGAATTCAGCAAAGAATTCGATGACATCAACTCGAACTATCTCCCAAAAATTTTTAAAAGAAAGCCATCGGGAAGCTGTCTGGGCCAGGGGCTCAGTAGGAGTTAAGGTCATTTAAGGCTTGAAGAATTTCAGCTTCAAAAAAAGGGCGTTCTAACCAAACTGCCAGCTTGGGAGCTAAGGTATGGAAGCTAATGCCATGGAAAATAGGTCCAGTAGGGGAGGTGAAAAGATCTTCAAAGAAGGACGCAGCAGCCTACTCGATTAGAGGAGGCTGATCGAGGATTGAATTCCCAACTTTCAGATAGGTGAAAGAATTTTCTTGTCTCCTACAATTGGCAATCTTGTGAAAATACCTTGTGTTAAGGTCACCCCAACAGACGCGCCTTTAAGGGGCTCATTCATAATTTTGGCCTCTTTCCAATGCTCCACAGCATGTGTATAGAAGTCCATCGACTGTCTTCATTGTATATTATCCACCCAACATCGTTTTGAACTGAAACTTGGGGGATATCATTAGGATGTTGCGGACCATCTTGAAGGTCGATTTGGGGTTGATTTGCATCGATTTCCCTCATCTTTAATCATGGCCCTTTATTGTGCATTCCAAAGTACATCCAAATCATAAATGACTCTGAAAACCTATGGTTTTTATTCAAGAGGTCCTCCATCATCCAAAATGAGAATCCTCAAAGTTGCGCCCAAAATTCATTCTTTTGGGGGCCATTCCACCATTTCTAGTATTGTCAACAGTTTTCCAGCATAGTTGGTAGCGGTTTCCTGTCGGGGTTGACAACCCCACATATTTGCTATCTGTCGGCTGTCTTTTTTCTGGGAACCATCACCGCCCCTATCTTTTTATAATTTTTGGGATAAGTGACGCCCAAGTACCCATCTTCCAACTTTCAAATGGGCCTTTGGGTACGGTTTTTCCAAAATGCATGCAAACACTAACCTTTTGTTTCTCTCCCTTTTTCTTTTGCTCCTTTTTTTTTTTGGATGATTGATGAAAAGGTTCCACATGCTGATTTTAAGACTTAAATATCATCACCTACCATCCATAAGGGACTGTAGAGAAGACGCTTTTGCATCATGATGCATCAAGATATCAATTATTAGGGTACTGGAACTTTTTCTTGTTTTCTCATAATTCTTGCAACTAAATTATAAAGTGATGAAACTCTGACCAAGGTAAAATGTAAAACATTTATACAAGGTATGTTATGAGTTTGCAGGATGAAGAATCAAATGCACATTTACTTTTCCATTGTGAGTTCTCCAGAGCAGTTTGGATGAGAATCCTGAAACTATTTGAATGGGCTTAGGTCATGCTAAGCTCAATTCTTCACTTGTTTCAAGTTAATATCTTCTTACCATGGCCCAAGGTAAGTAGATTCATTTGGAAAGCATCGATTTCAGCAACTATTTGCTATTTTGGATAGAAATAAACTATGTAACTTTTGGGGGAGAGAGCTGCACGGATCAATTGGCAGAGAAAATCAGAAACCCAATTGCCTTCTAGGCTACCAACCATAAGCTTTTCAAGAGTTGCACTTTCACTGATTTCCACAATAATAGGCCTAACCTACTACAGCGAGCCCAACCAAGAATCTCGAAGGCATCATTGTGGAGGCCACCTGAAAGAGTTACTGTCAAGCTCAACTTAGACGATTGCACTCCCTTGGCAACCCAGGAACCTCAAGCATAGGGGGCTTTTTAATCAAGTGATGGCTCAATTTTGCTATGCTTTTTCCGACTTATTGGAGTAGCGGACTCCACTCTTGCTGAGGCTCTTGCCTTCGCAAGTTTAATCCTTCATGGAGTCACAACCTGGTAGTTGAAGGAGATGTCAAGAATATTATCTCCTGGGCATCTAACAGTTCATCTTGGCCTTGGCATTTTGACGATATTTTCAAAGAGATAGTGCATATTACTAGGAATTGCAGTATTACTTGCTACCACATTTACAGAGAAGCCAATTCAGAGGCTGATCAGAAGCTGATATTTTGGAAAGGAGGGGGAGGGGGAGGGGGGAGGGGGGAGGGGGAGGGGGGAGGGGGTGGGGGGTCTTTTTCAATTACCCTCTGGGGAACTAGTTTTGTGTGCTCACTTGATCTCTACAAACCCACGAATAATCTTTCCCCTTTGTACATTTTTTTACTCTTTTGGGCTTGTATAGAGTGGCCCTATTGGGTTCACCATACATATTGATTATCTTGTAATCTTTAATAATTATTAATGCAATTATAGTGAAATTCTCTCAAAACAAATGTAGAACATTTATACAAGGTTCACTCGTCTATCCTACAAATCTCTTTTGATGATGCGCAAAGTGCTTCAAGTGGACAGTGTGATGAGTATCTTCTGTGGAAGCAACAGATTCCTCCTAATTCTTGTGTATATGTGCAGTATATGAACCCTAGGAAGACTGCCAAGAAGAGCAAGCATTGCTTGGGATAACTTTCTCGCTATTTTAGGGTTATTTTCAGTTATTTTTTATTGCCTTGATTTTTCTAGAACAATTGGGGACTTTCTAGTCATTTTATTTATAGTCAAGGTCATTCATTTTAAAAATGACTCTAGTTAGGACTTTTGAGCCAATTTATGATTTTTATGGACACTTAATTGTTTTTTGAACATTAAATAGAATATAAAAGTGGAGCATGACGCCGAAAGGGCTCAGTCTCTTGGTTCGTTTATGAGGAAAAGAAATAAAAGCTCCATGCTTTTGAAGCCCTCAGTAGGGTGGTGTGAGGAAGAAACCCAGGTTTCTTATAATTTTTGCCTGTGTTTAGCCCGAAGCTTGCTGGTTATACTGTTTTCATCGAATTTCCCACATCAAGTTTTCTCAGTAAACAAGTTACAACATGTTTATCAACTCCCAAACCAAATCATATATTTACCAAAGAAGTACTCAAAAGAAATCACAATAGGAGGCTCACCACAATTCTACAACTACTACAATTGACTTAGAAACCTTTCCACCATGATTTTTCATATGAGACACATTAAACTTTTGAACATAATTAGATACTACCAAAAAACAAGAAGTAAAACACATTGTCCAAACCAGTGAGCTTCATTGTGAGCTCTGAATTCACAGATAGTTGATCCAAATACTTAGAGAGGCCACACATTAGGAGACACAAAATAAGTAATTTCCTATCAAAAGCAAAACTTTGTTGGGCTACCTACGAAAGACTGCAATTTACAAATCTATAATAGGTTTCTTTGGTTGCTTACAAGAGTGGCAACAGGTGAAGTACCATGCCAAACAAAGTACTCTAGTGTCCTCTAGAAGAATTTAGAATTGGATGTAGGTCCAAGAACTCTATTATGAGTTAGATTCGACTTACCTTATCAAAATAAATAAAACTGGAAGCTACTGATGTTAGTTACATAGAATTATCACAAACATCCAAGTATCAAGTCAAAAACAAAAATAGAAAGGAACCCCATGAGAATAAGGGGAAACTCCACATCGGTCATCAACATATTTTTAGTTTTAGTTCCAAATATTGCAGAACCCACTAGTGCATAAACCAATTTAAAATTATTCAAAATATCATTCTTCTTGAATGTGCAAAACATCAACAAAATTTAATATTCTACCCATCAAAATATAAAGGCCAGCAAACAAAACAATCCTATATTAATACAACAGAGAGAAAGAGAACATACAGTTATACCACTAGCAATGACATCGTAAAAGGTACAAACTAGCTATAAAACAAATGGCTTCTTCATAGCTATAAAACAAATAGTAACATTCCACCTCCTGGATGTATTCCATTACTTTATTCACTTATTTTTTCTCATCTCCTCTGCATACGGATATCAATAAGCATACAGTTATACCACTAGCAATACAACAGAGAAAAAGAGAACATACAGTTATACCACTAGCAAGGACAATGTAAAAGGTACACAACTAGCTATAAAACAAATGGCTTCTTCATAGCGATAAAATAAATAGTTACATTCCACCTCCTGGATGTATTCCATTACTTTATTCACTTATTTTTTGTCTCATCTCCTCAGCATATGGATATCAATAAGCATTTTCGTAATTAAGTAAATAAATAGTTTGTAAAATATGAATTGGGATTCTTTATCAAACGGAGGAGCAGGGCTCCTGCCCAACCCTGCTACTCTAACCAGAAGAGAAACAGAGCTCCTCTAAATTGGGAAGCAGCACTTCCAAAAGTGAAACATTCGGACAAGATGTTCATTTTACCCTTTTACACAAATGTGGCCAGAACATCATGCTATTCTAAATTCAGTTTAATTTACCTCAGAGTTGTGATATACATTAAAAACAAATCCAAGATCACCCATTCAAAAAGTAGTTAGAATCTTACAAATGAAACTTGTCAAGGCAATGAAAACCTAGAAACTACTTACTGAAGTCAAAATTTCTAAACCAGGGGAGAGAAAGAGGTATCATTTGCATACTTATAAATAGTGTTGTACAGTTCTATTTGCAAGAGAGAGAGAGAGAGCTCTGGAATGTGAATTTCCAAACTCCATAAGGAAATAAATTAACAAACCAACTCATAATTTCCTAGTCAATATTTAGAACATCTTCTCCATGAAAAGATAACATTGACACAGAAGAAGAATCCCCATCCCCCCCCAAGTAGTAAACCATTCTAATAAAAAGACTATACGACTTCATAATGTACAAATCATGAAATTGTCAAATTCACAAACTCTCTTTCAATATACTACTCTTCCATCCATAACTAAAACATGACATGATAATACAGACTAAAAACAATGACAAAGTGGATTTAGCTTGTGAAAAGAATTTGTTGGGGAGAAATAATACATCTCCAAAACTATGTCAATCACAAAACATGAAACTCTGCAACATAAGACCAAATCAAAGAGAATGACAGGGAAGGATCGGCCATACCTTCGATGGAATGCATCCTACATTTAGACATGTCCCACCAAGAGCCCCTCTCTTCTCAATACAAGTGGTTTTGAGCCCTAATTGAGCAGCTTTAATGGCGGCCACATAGCCGCCAGGCCCTCCCCCTATCACCACAACATCGTTGTCTTCTGAACCAGAAGAGAAGCTCCTGTATGTGTATACAGAGGTGAAATGCCCGCTATTGGATTTACAGTCTCTGAGAATTTGCCCTAGAATTAAGGCTTTACGTCTGGTACAAGCCGCCATGGCCATAGCTTGGAGCTCCTTTCTCTGGGGGGGCGTGTTTGATAACTGGAAAGCAAATGTTTCCTAGAAATTGGAAGTTCTTCTGTGCTGAGAAGAAAGAAGTTATTGTAAGAAGTTATGGGTTCTGTGTTTGATAACCTGTTGGAATGTTAAAGAAGTTTTGGGTTTATGTGTTTGATAACCTGCTGGAATGTTAACGAAGTTATGGGTCTCTATCTTTGATAATCTCCTGAAATATAAGGAAGCTCTAAGTTACATAACAGGCCTTACACTGTAATCTACACACAGAGACAAAATAACGATGTAGTCTACACACATAGACAAAATACTCTTTAATCAATTACATAACAAGCCTTACTCTGCAGTCCACACACACAGACAAAATAACCATATTATTATTATTATTATGTGTTTATCAAACATCATTAGAAAAGACCAAAAGAGAGCATCAAACATCTAAAGCTATGTTACTATCGATATATTCATTCGTGAGGAAAATAAGTCCAATACAGCTATATGAAGGGCTAGTTTTCAACTGATAACATACTATAAACTGTATAATAGTGAGCAGCATTGACATTATAATGGTGAGCAACATTGACATTCTGTTTGGATAGTTCAATCATATGAAAGAGTTATACAAACTTTAGAAGCAATAAACCTTTAAATATTTCACAATTACCCCAATCACAATCATAACTAAAATTCACCTCAATCATCAAAGATAATCAATTTTCGCTCATTCAAACTTCATGGCAATGATTTGTTCTCTTTTGCCTAGAAAAACTATTCAATACATCAAATAGTCAGGATTAATTAAATTGAATATTGGATTCTTCAACCGAACTAAAATTCCACAAGAAACTCAACAAATTTCCTGCTGATTTCCTTGAGAAATGCTGTTATTTGCAAAAAATTCCAGTCAATCTATAACAAGTTGTTTTTTTTTTTGTTCGCTGATTCTACAACCACATTCTCAATGGTCAGATAAAACCCTATGATTGATATTGAAAAATAAAAAGTAAGCTTAATCTAAACCTATGGCATAAAGGAAAGCAATACTGCAATTTTTTTTCTTTCTTTTCTTCACGACCAACAAAAGAAATATCAATGAAGAAAAAAATAAGCTAACCATGAATTAAATTTAAGCAATCTCATTGATTATCTCATCTTTAGATGATAGAAGTCACAAAAAATAAAAATAAAAAGAAACAGGGGACACCAAATGGTTATGATTGTCACCTGTGTAGTAGAAGAAACCAAATGAAAAGAAGAATTGGAAAATGAGAGAACTGTGGAATTTAGATGGGGTGGAGAGAGGAAGGCTTGAAGGGAGGGATGACGGGCAAGGTTTCTGTACTGTTTAGCAAAAAAACAGCCAAATTATGTTTTTCCTACGTAAAACAATTTACCACAAAACAATATTTTTATAACAAAAAATATTCAGAGAAAACCCTAGATCCATTTTCACCATGTTCGGAATATGAGAGAGACCAAAACAAACTATGGGATAGAGAAAAAACCAGAGAGAGAAAAAAAATCAAGGGAGAGAGAAAAAAACCGAGATGTACCTTTCTAAGGAGGCTGGTAGGCGTAAAGAGAAGCGCGCGATGGTCTCTGCTCTGTGGTTAGGGAGTCGGGGGCAAGCAAATACCCTCTTCTTCGCGAGGACAGTCGGGGGTGGTTTGGTAACGTGCTTTTGTTCTTCGGCGAGGTCCCCCTTTCAAGTTTGTGGACGGAACCTTTTCTTAGCCTAAAAAGAGCCAACAGGTAAGTTCCTGGTTTTTAACTTACTTGTTTTTATGCTACAAGAACACATAAGTTCCATCTTTTGGTAAGCATCTTTTAGTTATCAAACACGCCCTAATCAAGAGGGCTTTTCTTGGATATTTTATAGGTTCAACGTCCATTTCTTGGGTTTTATACGGGACTGCCGCAGGTTTCGCAAATAACTTCGTCCTCACGCGAATTTATGTCATTTCCAAAATCATCAATGCTACTACGTAAGGCATCACCATTCATCGTAGCTTTTCCCATAATTTGGGTGGGGTACATGAATTCTTAGCCATTTTTCAATTAATTGGAGTTTGCTGTGTGAATCTCGATCTGTAATTATGTTTTACTAAATGTCGTACTTTTAATGACACCATAAATCCCTATATCTTTTGGCATTACTTTCAATCATATCTTTTTGGGTATGCCCATTGCTCTTTTATAACCTTTCATTTGAACTAACTTGCACATCTTGACAAACGTTCTACTACTTCTGAATCGCACATGGCCAATCCACCTAAACCTACTCTTATCATCTCATCGCCTATTGTTGTCACATCTAATGCACAAATCATATAATATTGAAAAAAATATACTTTTTAAAACCCGAATCGATGGGGTGGATCGTTTTTCCACATACTGTCGTTGGATTGGTAAATTAGCCTCCAAATCAATGATTCAGAAATATAAAAAATAAATAAAATAAAATAAATATCAAAATGATGAAGTTTCTATAGGGCCTAGATTTTATGAAAACAAAATAAAATCTCACCTCAAATCCTTATTCCGAGAGCACTTTCGGCATCAAAAATCTCCATGATGGCTCTAAAATCAAATTTTCAATACCGACAATAAAATTTAAAACTAAAAAATTAGTACGTATTGCATATATGTGAAGACTTATTTTTAGGGAAAAATTGACGGTCTAAATGTTTTGTTACAATAAATACTATTTTTAGAATTTAAAATAATAATTTGTTTTCACAACATTAATGTTCAAGCTCAGATGAACGATTGCAGTTTTCGATGAATGATGAGATGAGGCTTTACTTATTTTGATAGAGTTGCAGCCCTATCAAACTATATTTCATATTAAAGTAGGGATATATAGGGTGGGGATTTAAGGGAGCCACCTAATAACATATTAGGTAAACTAAAAGAAAAGGCAAAAAAATATAAAACTAGGATTAGGGGAACTGGGGCGGGATGCATACCATCCCAAAACCAATTCAGTCTTGACTTATTCCTATATGAATCGGCGATCAGAATTGGAAATCGCCGTTTTGTAATACTACTAGAACTATGCCAAAAGATACACTTTAGCCTTATAGTGGCATGAAATCTATTGTCACACATAATTATGAAATTTACAGTTAGAAAATGGTGATTATCAAGCAAATATATAAATACTTGAAAATAAATGGTACATATAACGTATTAGAAGATGAACTATTTTTAGAACTTAAAGTCCTTTTTTCTTCATATTCATGAATCTGAAGTCCAAATGATCAATTTGAGGGTTTTACAATATAAGAATAGCCTTCTCTAATGGGTCTTTTAGGTGCATCTTACTTATGCAGTATAAGAGTGGCAACTTATATAATCTTCTTGCTGTCATTAATGATTGATTGTCGCGTATATTATGCTTCTAAGGGAGCATACTATGTATTAGCTCCCTCGTACAAAAGATGTACTTTAAGAACCATGATGATAATTTATAAAGATGGATTTTGAGTCTTTAAATATTTTAGTGTTAAATCCATTGACAATTTGGCATATTTAAAATATTATTTAGTGATAATTTTGGCCAAATTGCCAGGTTTTAAAACTATTATTCTAAGAATGATGGACCAAAATTCATGTCGCCGACCCCAATGTGGCAATTTGGCTAAAACTATGAACATTCCCAAAAATATAGATATAATCTCATTTGTTGTTTGGATGTATTTCATCAAATGTGGGAGTCTTCAAGCTTATGAGCACATTAAAGTAATTTGCAATGTGTAAGGACATAATCCTAAATTTTTAAATAAATAAGTAGAAACACAAGACCGGTGTATTGGGTCCAATGTAGGAAAAATTGAACAGCAACGATTAACTAGACATGGGCCTGGAAGCGGTTCAACTAACCTAACTAGTAAACCAATTGGTTCAACCATTCTAGCTGGGCAAGTCCCAAGCAGTTAAAAAACACAAAAAATCTAACAAAATATGAAAAGTAAGAATGATTAAACAAATCACGTCCAAATAAAATTGAAAACTAATGAAAAAATAAATTTTAAAGAATCGATTTGTGTCCAGGGGCATCTTTGAAATTTTTCAAAAAGATGGGAAATGTAAAAATAAGTATTGATAGCCAAAACATTTTTCAGCCTTCGCCATAATAATGAAAAATTTAAAAATGTATTACAAACAAAATCTTTTATTTTTTGGGATTTTATATAATTATATATATATATATATATATATATATATATATATATAT